AAAAGCTAAGCCTTCCAGAAATTTCTTCTCCTCCTAAGCCTCTCTTTAGAGTTTGGAGTTCCATCTTTGTATAAAATTTAGCAGGCCATTCATAGCTATGAGCTCAACTGAGAAAGATTTTTTAGTCCTGGGCTCAAGAACACAACGAAGGACCAATTACATATGTTTTATTGTCTAAAATTTGCTATTTAGCACATAAAGGGAAATTTTGAGCTCTTGTTTTCTGTATTCTATTTGATTCCCTAGTGTTCTGGGACACAGAGACCTGAAATTTTTAGTGTCACAAATACCATCTAGCCCAATAATATCCAGTAGAGTTTTCTCCAATGATGGACATGTTCTAGGTCTGTACTGTCTAATATGGTAGCCACAAGCCACATGTGACCACTGAGCACTTGACATGTGGCTAATGAGATTGAGAAATTGGATTTTAAATTTTATTTAATTTCAATTAATTTTATTTTAAATTTAAATAGCCACATATGATTGATGGCTACCATATTGGACAACACAGATCTTGATAAAGAATCACAAATTATGTATATTTGGAGTGTTGAGAATAGAATTTCTGTTTTAACTAAATATTTAGAGGAAATATGAATAAGCCTCCTATACTTCTTAATAACTGAAGAGTTCCTTTGTTTAAAATCAGTCTCTTTCTCAAGGTCCTATTTGTTTGACATTTGATACACTCTGTTTACTCCAGCCACCAATCTGGATGGAGATAATGATGAAGTTTGCACCACCATAGTTATCAAAATCCTTTCCCCATTGATAGTATAATCCAAACCACTTTGTAATCAGAAATATAAGTTGAGAGTGAAATAAAACAGAAGGAAATCCAGCAACTCTGTAGGTTTTAAAATAATTTCTTAAAGTAAGAGCACACAACTTTTTTTTTTAATCTGGCAAAATAATTATAATTATAAGAGAACTTCAACATTGAGAGTCTAATGTTGACTGTTAACGATAACAGTAGTAAAGCATTTCTCCATTTTCAGGGAGATTATTCCACCAAGCAACTGGACTATTCTTAGGAACTCAGTCCCACAGAATTAATCAAACTATAGTATATTTTTTTTATTTTCTTGCTTTAAAAAACAAAAGCAAAGACCTTCCAATGTGTTGAACAGTCTCACATGGAAGAGTCAACCATGACTGCTTGAAAGAGTGGACATCCTACTGAGCCATTCTTTCAGACTTCCTCTAAGACCAGAAGAAGGAACTGAATGAAGTTGTCAATCAAACTAAACTGTACACACACACACACACATGCAATAATGAGAAGAAAATAGATACTCCCTCACTGCTGAACATGCACACACACACACACACACACGCACACAAACAAACAGAATCACTAAGAGATTGGGACAATAACAAATCGTCAAATTATCAAAGTGAAGGAATTATAGGTACAAGCAAATATAGTCTTTAAAAATTTGTTAGTAACAAAACAATAAATTAAGAGACAACATTGGGTAATGGAAAAGACTGTAGACGTTCAGAAATTATATTTCACTTTTAATTTCTACCTCTGCATAATTTTAGAAAATCATTTAAAACTTACATCTGCCTCAGTTTTTCCATCTACAACATGAGAATAAATTTTCAATGAAATACTTTGATGCAACTATTTTCACAACAGTACACATAATTGCTTTAGGTTTTATAAAACAAATTTCTATACAAACACAAGGCACTGTTATTACTCAGCAATCATACATTTTTCAAATTACATATTAAGAAAGGATACAATTAATCTATATTTAAAATCTATCTGTATTTTCTTAGAAGATCCTCTTATAAATATAAAGTATAAAATGGATCTTCAATATTCATCATTTCAAA